CTTTCTGTCCCCAGCTCTGCCCTTGGCCTGCTCTGGAACCTTGAGAAAGCCTCTTCCATTCTCTCAGTCCCTGCCTCCTTTTGTAACTCTATATCAGGGGTGGGAAACCTTTAGTGGGTTGGGGCCACTGACCCACAGAAAAATGAGTTAGGGCTAGGGTTGCTAGATGGTTAAAACAAAAATACTGAACCCCTGCCCCCCCAAAAAAACACCGGGAAAAAATTCTGCTGGGGGGGGGGAGGGGAAGAGACCAAAGTTGTTAAGAAAAAAAAATTAAAATAAAACAGCATTAAAATAGCATGTCCCCTTTAAGTGCAGGGATAGGAACAGGGAGAAGTTGAGCACTAAGACCCAGGGGAAGCATTGCTTCCCCTAGGTCTTTTCACCTGCAGCCATTTTGTGCCAGCAGCCTTGCGAACCAGGTAAGCATGGGGGCCGGAGGTGTTGGGGGCTAGGGGAAGGGAGGCGCTGAATATTTGTAGGATTGCCAGGTGCCCGGCCTTTTCATCTCCTGGCCAGGGAAAAATTCAAAAAATACCAGACAGCTCAGGTGACTGGTATTCACCCGGACAGTCGGGTATTTTCTGCTCTTGCCCGGTGAAAAAAATTCAGAGAATACCAGACACCTGGTAACCCTGGGGCCCACACACAAGTGAGAAGCGAAAAAACCAACCGACCGACAGCCCTCACAACGGTAGCCCCCCCAACTGAGAAACAGAAGGGTGCTCCCTGGGCCTGCGGTTCCCCACCTCTGCTCTGTTGGGTGTAACGTTGTGCCTGGGAAAATGGGGGCTGTGATCTCACATAAGACATGTTCATGTCGCTGCTAGTGAACTACTCCTGGCTTCCCACCCACTGCAGACCCTCTCTCGCCAGCCTCTGCAAACTGACTTGAATCAACTACCTGCATTCCCCAAGCCAGCCAGCATACAGACCCTCGTCACGCTGATACCAGCCGCTGTGTGCTGCAGCGGTGAGTGTGCCCAGCCCAGACCATGCTGGCTGCCTGGGCACAAGTGCCATCAACCCCTGTATTGTGTGCGCATCCAGCATCTTCCCACCCTGGATGCTGCCGGGCTCCTCCCTGCTGGTGTAGCATCACAAGCAGCTGCTGTGAAAATGGGCTTCTAGTAGCAGTTTCTGACATACTAGCTTGTCAGTTTTGGCTTACATCAGTTTTTGCTCAGTACACTCTGGCTGCGTCTTCACTGGCATGGTTTTCCGCAAATGCTTTTAACGGAAAAGTTTTTCTGTTACAAGCATTTGTGGAAAAGAGCATCTATGGAAAAGAGCATCTAGACTGGCAGGGACGCTTTTGCGCAAAAGCACTTTTTGTGGAAAAGCGCCCGTGCCAATCTAGACGCGGTTTTGCGCAAGAAAGCCACGATCGCCATTTTCGCCATCGGGGCTTTTTTGCACAAAACGGTTCTCAGTTGTCTACACTGGCCCTCTTGTACAAAAGCATTTGTTCCCCAAATGGGAGAATTGTATTTGTGGAAGAACGCTGACAATCTTGCATTAGATCGTCAGCGTTCTTGCACAAATTCAAAGTGCTAGTGTAGACAGTTGGCAAGTTTTTCCGCAAAAGCAGGAGCTTTTGCAGAAAAACTTGCCAGTCTAGACGCAGCCCCTAGGTATGGAATTCTGAAAGGCAGCTGTTTCGGATGCTACAAGTAGAAAGCAGCCCAGGCGAGGTGCAATCAAGGAGCCCTGTAGCCAGCAAGGTATATGTGTCTGTCCAGTAAAATTTTCTTTGCATATTTATATTTGCATAATGAATATGCAAATAAAATGTTGTCAGTTCACCAAAAGTGCGGACTTGAGACATCCTTCGTCATAGACAGGGGTTGCTCTGGCAGTAGCCCATCTGCAGGGGTCCCAGCTCCCCCCCAGGACCCTCTGTGGACAGTGGCTGCTGGACCCCAGAAGAAGTCCAGCTCAGTCCCGGTTTGCACTGGGTGAATGAATGCTGTGGCTCTGCATTTTAAGTGTAGTCTTTAGTATTATGCATTTCAGAAGAATAAGTCTTCTGATTGAAAAGAGTATTTTATACATTGTGCAAGCATAGCTGCTCCGAAATTCACTAAGGAGAAACACATGATGGAAGCTTAATGACTTATTTTGTCTTTACAAATAGATCTTTATTAAGGTGTACGTGGATTATTAAAAGTTACTTGTACATTCCTAGAAATGCTCTCAAATGTTAAGCTTATTTAACAAAAAAAAGTTGAGTTGGCACAATTTATTTAAAGAAGGAAATTTGTGTAAATAGACAAGAAAACATTTTATATTAGCTTGTACTGTGAAAAGACAATTGAGGGTTTTTTAAAATACTCACTTTGAAAACTGAAATATTTGATTATTTTCCACCCTCATTTGTTTTACACAATTCAGTGGTATTTGGGGTGGAATTTTTATGAAAAAAAAAGGCAGAGTAACATTTACTTAAAATACCTGTTTGCAATTCTGTAGTGTGGAGAGTAAGAAGATGTGGAGCCTGTCACCCTTGTCTGATTTCATTTCTCCATGTATAAAATGTAATTTTAAATGCTACCCTGCGAGCCTGTTGAATGAGAACATTCATAAACAATAAAGTCAGCAGAGACCACTGGGATCATCTAGTATGACCTCCTGCACTAATTCCTGTTTGAATTAGAAAAATTTGGAAGAAAAAAAAAAAGCACCTAGCTCTCAGTAAAGAATCCACTGGGGCAAGTTGTTCCAATGGTTATTACGTTCACTGTTTTAGAAACTAGCACTTTGTGCTTTCTAGATTGAATTGTATAGCATCGGCTTTCAGCTATCTGATCTTGTTCATTTGCTCAATTGAAGAGGCCTCTGTTTAATTTTCTCTTCTGTGGGTACTTAACTGATCAAATGACCTCTTAATCTTCTTTTGGTTAAGATGAAAGATTGAGCTCCGTGACCCTTTCACTGTAAAAACATTTTCCACTCATTCTCCTGCTCTTCTCTGAATCCTCTCCAATTTATCAAAATCCTTCCTGAAGTGTGGGATATCAGAACTGAAAATACTATTCAAGTGGGTGTCACACCAGTGTCAAATAAATGCAGTGTTCCTAATCCTTCTAGATATTCCTTTGTGTAGTCAAGTATTGCATTGATCCTTTTGGCAACAGCATTTCAGCCGGACCTTGTGTTTAGCTGATCATCTGTCAAGATACCCAAGTCCTGGTTGACAATAAAAAGGAGGAAAGGGTTGATGATTATGTCCCTCTTGTGAAAAGATTTGGGTTTTTTTAACCTGATGGGCAGCTGTATGGACGCGCAGTAACACTACAAAGGTACTGGCAATGAAAAATAGACACAAACTTGATGCCAGAGAAGGAGTTGGTGCTGAGATGGGTTTTCCCTGTGTAGTCTTCAATGCTCTCAGTGCCTGAGTAGGCAGTGATGGTTTGGTTTTCCATGGCACTGCTGATAGGGCTGGAAATAGGAATGTTAAATGGTAACTGGATACCCAGGAAGCATCATCCTTAGAGATGTTAAAATACTTTTGACACAAGGGGCAGGCCTGAGCATGGGAAGAGGCAGCAGCATGGACAGGAGAGGCAGCTGGTGCTGCAGGAACCAGCACGCACAGGTGTCAGCTTAGAAGCTGGCTCCCCCCACATGCCAGTTCCTGCCAGCTACAGGTGGTTCTGACTTCCCACATATCCTGGCTTCTACCCTGCTGCTTCCCCCAATGCACTGCTGCCTCTATGGGAGGTAGCTCTCTATGTGCAGCCAGCTCACCCTGTGCACCAGCTCCTCTTTCCTCTGTTGCCTCCCTGCTTATTAGTTAACTGTGTACAGGAGTACACTTTAACATTCCTACACTTAACAGGTATAAACTAATTAAATAGGCTTTTACATCCCTACTGCACAAGGGCTTTGCTCCTGCTTTAAGACTGAAAACATTCCAGTTTGGGACTGGTGAGTGTGTGTGTGTGTGTTATGGCCAAAATGGCAATATTTGTCCTGAGGGAGGGTCTATGTAAGCTGACTTTAGCACAAAGGTTAGTCTCAATTCCCTTAGTTGCCCAATCTTAACATCATGCTGTATGCTTTCAGAAACCTCAAGTGCCTCTCCCTTCGAGTGGGGACAGGAGGAAATGAAGGTGTGGCAAGCTGCATGCTATGCAAGAGCCACCTCATAACTCTGGTATAGAAAGTCATGGATGCCAGGGGTATTTTTTCCCCTTCTCACTTCAGTGGGCCCCTGATCCAAGCAAATACTTTCTCTCCCTTTTTGGCAGCGTAGCTAATGGAAAAGATATGGAAAGAGAAATGAGCACAGCTGCTGTAGAAGTAAAAGTCAAGCAGTTTAATAAGATCAAATCATGAGTGCTGAAAAATTTCCATCAAGAATATTAAAAGGAACTGGCAGATGAAATTGCAAACCCAATAGCAAGGAATTTTAATTAATCCAGGAACTTGGGCTTGCACTGTGACAGGAGAATTGCTAATAGAATTCAGAATGGTCTTTCTTGGTCTGCCATCCTTGAGACCTGAGGAGGTCACTTCCACCTCTCTGCTGACAGACTCTAGACTGCCCTGCTGCTGGCTGTCAGCAAGCCCCAGCCGCTACTGCTCTTGGGCTGTAGGGGATGCTAAGTCTCCACTGCCCCAGGGCTGCAGTGAGCAGGCCCTTAGACCTGACTTTGTGGTCCTCTGGCTTACCCATATCCATAGTTATGCCAGACT